CATTCGCCGTTCATCATGAACGCGTAGCCGCTTGTACTGCGTCGAGTCTCGACGTCACCAGCCCAATCCGCATCCGAGTAGCCTTGGAGTCCTTCTTCACTTGTTTCTTGAAACTCGATGCCGTGCGTCTTCGTACCTTGAATGTAGCGGAATACGCGCTTGAGTGCTTGCCAGTGTGTGGGACACGGGTCCGCCGCGAACTGGCTAAGAACTCCCACTGCCGCAGCGAGGTCCGGTCGAGTTCCAACCATGAGGTACATCAGGCAGCCGACAGCATTGCGATAAGGCACCTTGGCCATGGTCTCTTCATGGTTGCATCCTCCTTCGCACATGGCCTTGGTCAACTTGAGTCCTGGGTCTTGAGGGGTCTTGACAGGGTTGCTGTTCTCCATGCCAAATTTCTCCAGGATGTCCTTCGCAAACTTAGTCTGACGCACCGACACTTTTCCTGTAGCCGCATCTTGATCGATCTCCATACCGAGGAAATACTTGAGGCAACCCAAGTCCGTCATGTCGAAGCGTTCACTCAAAGCCTTCTTCGTCGACTTAAGAAGCTCGTCGTTGTTACTGGCGAGGACCAGATCATCGACGTAGAGAGCCACGAAGATCATGTCTTGGTCATCCCACTTGACGTAGATGCAGTGATCGGCTTCACACTTCTTGAACCCCAGCTCCAGCATGAACTTGTCAATGGTCTGGTTCCACATTCGTGGCGACTGCTTAAGACCGTAGAGCGAGCGCTTGAGATGACAGACATAGTCAGGATGCTCTTCATCCGTGTAACCATCCGGTTGCACCATGTAGATATCTTTGTCAAGCAGCCCGTTTAGGAACGCCGTCTTGACATCCATCTGGTGCACCGTCAGATTGTACTTGGCCGCCAGACTGAGCAGGATCCTGATCGACGTGAACTTGGCGACTGGCGCGAAGGTTTCTTCGTAGTCGATGCCGTACTTTTGCGAAAATCCCTTGGCCACAAGTCGTGCCTTGAACCGCTCGATCTCTCCCGCTTGGTTCTCCTTGATGCGAAACACCCAACGACAACCGATTGCCTTTCGACCTTGGGGCAATGGCACCAATCACCATGTCTTGTTCTTGCGAAGAGAGTCGACTTCTGAGCCGCACGCCTCCTTCCACTTGGCCGCGTTGCTGGATTCCATCGCCGAATTGAACGTAGTCGGCATTTCTCCCACTGAATCCACAACGTAGGCCGCTTCGAAATCTTCTTCTCGACTACTTGCGACCACTGACATCTCATCCAGTGTCTGCGGCCGACTCTGTCGCTTTCTTCGCGGGATCTCTACCGCTTCCTCCAACGACTGCGTTCGCTGGTGTCGCTTGCTGCCGGGCTCAAATTCTTGACGCGGCGCAGTGTCTCCCATTGTCTCATCCTCGGACGATGCTTCTTGATCCGTAACTTCTTCTTCTTGAAGCTCCACGATGTCATCTTCATCGTGGCTGCGTCTCCCTCCGTCGAAGACGTCTTCCATGAACTGCGCATCGCGGCTTACTAGCACACGACCGCTCTTGATCTCTTCGAAACGATACGCTTTCTCGTGTTCCGGGTACCCCAGAAACCGACACTTCACTGCTCGAGCGTCCAACTTAGTGCGTTTCTGCTTCGGAACCGTCACATACGCATGGCAACCGAACACCTTCAGGTTCGCCAGCAGTGTTTTTTTACCGGTCCATACTTGGTGCGGTGACTTGTCATGGCTGATGGCACGTGTGGGGGGGGCACCGGTTACGTAAAAAACAGCGGTCATTACCGCTTCACCCCAATACAACTTGGCCAAACCAGCATGCTCCAACATGCAGCGCGCACATTCCACCAGCGTCCGGTTCATCCGCTCGGCGACACCGTTTAGTTGAGGCGTGTACGGAGGCGTAAACTTCTGCACGATACCACGACGCTTGCAGAACTTAGCCATCTCGCCCGACGTGTACTCGCCACCGTTGTCACTACGAAGCGTCTTGACGACCTTGCCGGTCTGTGTTTCCGCAAATGCGACAAACTCAGCAAACTTGTCGGCCACTTCTGACTTGTTCCGGAGCAAATACACCACACAGAAGTGCGAGTACTCGTCGATGAACGTGACAAAGTAGCGTTTGCCACTGAATGTCGACGTCTGCATGGGACCACACACATCACTGTGAACGATTTCCAGCAGTTTCTTGGCGTGGTTGGGTGACTTGGACATGTAGCTCACTCGCGTTTGCTTGCCGAGTGCACATCCGTCGCACAGCTCCCACTGTTTCACCGACGTCATGTTGATGCCTGCACCGTAGTCCTTTTTGACGATGGCGTCTAGACCGCCATGGCCAATGTGACCAAGTCGAAGATGCCAGAGGTACGATGTGGTGTCCCCTTTGCGATCCTTCGAGCTTGCCGCATTGGCTGAGTCGGGCACAACTGGTGTCATGCACAGCTTGAATAGCCCTTTGCCTTCACGCGCGCCGAGCTTCCAGTTAAGGCCCTTTGCTTCCGCAAAACACCCATCCGTCTCGAACGTCACGGGACCAACATCCTTGGTGAAGCGACCAACCGAGAAGAGGTTGCGTGACAACTTAGGAATGTGCCACACATTCGTGAGCACACCCTTCTTGGTCCCCCGTGGAGTCTTCATGGACATCACGATGTCACCGGTCCCGACCGCCTAAACCACACCATCGTCCGCGAGATGCACGTCCACTGGAGACATCTTCTTGTAGTTCTTCATGTACTCCTTCGAGTACGTCATGTGCTGTGTCACACCCGAGTCGACCAGCCACTTGTCACTTGACTTGGTGGTCTTGCTCGCACCACCAACCAAGAAGAGAAACTCGCCCGATTCTTCTTCATCGCGAGCGACGTTTGCTCGTTGCGGCCTCTGTCGCTCCGCATTCTCACGAATCCTCACCGGACACTTGGCGATCCAATGTCCTTGTTCGCCGCAGTAGTGACACGCGCTTGTCTTTGGCGCCTGTCGTCCCTTGCGCTTCCCGTTGTCACTCGTCATGAACGCTTGACCGTGCGCGGCGCCGTCCGCACCGCCACCTTGCTCTTTGCGCTTCATGTCCTCATGCAGCAGCCGAGCCGTCACGAGTTCCCACGATAGTGAGTCAGCTCTCGACTCCAACGCCGTGATGAGGAACTGGTACGACTCGCTTAGGCTTGCCAGAAGCGTGATCACCAAGTCGTCCTCGCTGACCAGAGCGCCCACTGCGTCGAGCTGTTCCGCCAGCGTCTTGATCTTGTTGATGTGCTCCAGCACATCATCACCTTCTTCCATCATCGTGGTGAAGAAACGTCGACGAAGGAAGAGCTTATTCGCCAAACTCTTCTTCTCGAAGTGTCCTTCCAGCCTTGACCAGGCATCATGCGCACCATTCGCCGACCGAACCAACGGCAGCTGCGAATCCTCCATCGCGAGACAGATAATCGCCAGCGCCTTGCGCGACTTCCGCTTGAACGTCGCTTGGTCCAACGCGGTAGCGCAGTGCTCCATCTTCAGTTCGCCACTGACGACTTCCCACAGGTCGCGCTCTTCCAGCACCATCTGCATCTTGAACTTCCACGTGTGAAAGTTGGTTCCGTCGAACTTGTTGATGCGGGCGGTCGTTGAAGTGGCGTCCATGGCGTAGGCGTAGTCTTGGGCAGAGTCTGCGGGGCTTGGGCTCATAACCAAAAGGAAGGTCGTTTGTGCACTAGATGATAAAATGCAAAGTGATTGATTTATTGGAGCTTACTATGTCTTACGTCCTAGTTTGCATCCAATCATGTGGTGCATCCAATCACCAACACTCTGGACTCGTCCAATCATCCTGTTCGTCCAATCATCTGTTTGCTCATACATCCGTTTGCGCAATTGACTCTCCGTAAACATCGCGGGGTCTTATGAAACCGGTTTACTGGT